CCCCAAAACCCCAAAACCCCTTAGGGGTATTTACTAACTTGAGATTTTTAACAGGTTGGAGAAATGTATAATAAAATGATTAAATTTGTTTAATAAATTCATTATTGATATAAACCCATGTGAAAAAAGAGATAATTGATTATTCCAAATTTTAATAAATCATTAATGAGACTTCCCCAAAACGTGGATATTTACTATATGATGGTACTTTTGCTTTTGTAAGATTTTTATCTCAAGGGAAATATAAGAAAATAGGATGACTTTAAATAGTATTAAAGGAGATCAATGCTTTGCTAATCCCTACCCAAGACTACCTAATTCAACTGCATATGATTTGAAAATTTTTAATGCAATTATGTTAGATGAATATAGATTAATATTATGTGGTACTCTTAAAAGTAGAAGCACTAATAATGAACTCCCGTTATTGATGCACATGAATTAATATACAGGAAATTTAGAATATTTTTCAGTTTTAAAGATGGCTGATATTTCACTGACTAATTCAACTGCTTTTGTGGCTTTTTGATAATGGGTTTATTCACCCACAGCTTTTCCTTAGATTTAAAATGGATCTATTTATGTTTCTATAACAAACAATGAGCAATTAATTATAGTTCATTCATATGGGATATCATTACTTAAATCTTACAGGAAAGCCAATAAAAATCATCTTATAATAGTAAATCAGTTTGATAGGTTTAATGATTATACTATTCTCTTTGGATATCAGAAAGATGAAGATGATCAAGGTTTTTTAAAAGCTGATTTTGCAAATGACATATTCAAGTATATCCAAATAAAATATGGTACTAAAATCGTGACATTTATCGATATAGTTGTTCAAAGAGATTATAAAGTTTATGCTTTTGGAAAAGTATTAGTCTCAGGTCTAAATTAACCTGCTTTTATAGGTTTCAATGCATCAACTAATTAGGTCACGTATTTAGTTACTTCAAATAATAACAGCTTTTAAAATATTAGTTTTATCAGGACTTCTTATACAAGTAGCAATAACTTCTTTATTTGTTGAGATTTATACCAATCTACTATGAAAACAGTAGAGATTCAAAGTTACAATCTCAATTCAACTTTCAATGGTTTTTCTCAGCAATCAAGAAATAACTTTCACCAATCAACAAATTTTCAGAATCATTATTGCAAGGATATATATGCTCATAATCTCACAATTTTCTACGCTTTGCTTACATACAAAGATAATATCCGATAATACGATGCTGTTATATACTTCAAAACTATTAACCCAATATCAGTTACTTACTATAAATTCATTGACTAAAATCAACCTAACTACTTATCTTTTAGCCTAATCAAAATACTTTATAAAGATATTAATGACCTGATATTTATTGGATTTGTTTAGGATAAAAATACATAGTAATACGGAGGTTTAGTATTTGCAAATCCAATTTCAAAGTACAACTGTTTTAATCTTACTACTGAACCCTTTACTTATACTTCTTATAAAGATTATAACGTGAACAAACTAAGTAATTTTCAAGTAACTGAAACGCTGAATTCATACTATTAGATCGACAGTAATTACAAATTATTCTCTACAACCAGCTTTTAAAGAACAGATTAATATAGTTACTGCAAAGCCACTAATACGTATTATGATATAGTAATAGAACCAATCCCTGCTTAGCCCATCACAGAATTTATTTACTTTATCGGTCAAGGTGAAATGCTATTCTACACTCATAATTACACTGTAACTTCGAAAAATTGTTTAGATTTATGGCCTCAAATGAGTGCGAAGCTGAAAAATGGTTCTGCTCTACCAGCTTTCTTCACTTATCCTAATGCCAATGTGAAAAATAATTTCAAAATCAGTACTAATTCTGTATCTAATGCAGGCTCATATCCAATAACTCTATATTACAACTAGACACTCGGGCCGATTATAACTTTTGATATTACCATCATTATAAAGGTAAATACAGTGGCACCTTAATTTGTTACAAACTTGGTAGATTAAGATGTGAATGTACCGAGTAATACAGATTATACTTTCCCTAATATTGTAGATTAAGATGGAAACACATTTTATCTCGAGTTTGTTCAAGTACTACCTAACTTCATAACATTTTCGAACACTTCTAGTGGATATTCAATAAATATAAAGCCAACTGATAACTCTTAAGCTGACACATACGTGCTAAATATCAGATTAAGAGATTATTTGCAAACATGATAGTATAGGCTCCAAGTGACAGTAAGAGCGAATTAAGGTGCTCCTCAATTTATCACTCCTCTCTAAGATTAAATAGTATTTCCTAGATAGTCTATAACATATACACTGCCGGATATAGTAGATGTTGATGGAAATCCTTATTAACTAGATTTAAAGACAATTCTCCCTGTATTTATAACATATGTAGTCCTAAATAAAAGCTTTCTAATTTCTCCTGCTTCTGATACACAGATCGCCAATTTTACTATTTAACTTAACTTATCTGATATCTCTTAAAGTGAGTTACACGAATTTGTGGTGTGTGTAAAGGAAAATACTCTAGCACCTCAATTTCAAATAGATTTATCAAATCAGATTGTTGAACTGAATTAATATTAAGAATATACTCTGCCTTCAATAATTGATTTAGATGGAAATACCTACTATTTTTAGCTAGTTACTATACTGCCTAGCTTTGCTAAATTTAATGAGACAAATATGACATTCAGCTTTAATGTTCAGAACTCAATGTAGCATGGAACGTATGCCATCTAAATAAAACTAAATGATTTTGAGTTGTCTAAAGATTATTCTTTCTCAGTCTAAGTGAATTCTGATTACTACTACCCTAGTTTTAGTAGCAACTTGTAAAATATTACTGCTTGCTTGAGTTGTACTCATTAATATCAACTACCTATACCAATTGATCTAGATGGAGATTAAGTTTATATCTCAATTTTAGGAGCTTTACCAAACTTTGTAAAGTACTTTAGTGATAATACATCATTTGAAATTTAGCCTGATTAGTCAACTAGCCTAGATCAATATCAAATAATGATTAAGTTGTCAGACTCAATTCTTGAATCTACATATAGTTTTTACATCTAAGTTAAAATCAATAATGAAGCACCTAAATTTATGAGTTTTCTGGCAGATTTTACTATGTTTGCGATTGATCAAAGATACTACTAGCTCCCTAATATATTAGATATAGATAGTGATACCTATTATATGGCCTTAACTCTCCCTTCATTTGTCAGCTATGTAAATGTTAGTAACTAACTATACATCGACCCTAATTCACCTAGTTTTAAAGGTACTTATCAAATTAAGATTCAGCTGTCAGACTACTACCTATCTCAAAATTACTCATTTAAGCTAATCGTTTTATATGATTCTGGCCCTCCTATATTCGAGTCAGCTCTTTTAAATCAAACTATAAACCCAGGTGATATCAAGACTTATGCTCTACCTACCATTACTGACCCTGATTTAGACACCTTTTAAATTGAAATCATATCAAGTCTACCATTATTTATCACTTTTGACTCAGCTTTAAAAGAGTTTCATATCAATTCTGAATCAACCACATCTGCTGGAGAATATTCTATTAAGTTGTAACTCAAAGACTAATATGATAAACTGAATCCATATTAGTTCTATGTAATAGTCAATACCTTATCAACTGAATAGTATGTTGCAACGAGTTCAGGAACTACTGATAATATCTCGACTCAATTAGAATCTAATTTTGCAAATAATGAATTAACATATGTAACTGTTAATACCAAACCTTATATTGATGCTTCATTTCTACCACTTTCAAACCTAATCTTATATTAATCAACTAAATTCTCAAAAATACTCTTTGTAATAGTTGATGATCAAAACGATGAAATACAGATTACTCTTAAATTGACAAGACTAAACAATAATGCTAGCAGTATATCACCAAGACTTATAATCTATAATACAACGACTCAGATGACTGAAATAGATCCTCAATCAGTAAATGACACTGGAATGTATCTTGTTCTAGTTACTCTTAAGGAGAAAAACACATTTGAAAAACTATATTAAACCTATGAATTTAGACTATTAATTGAGGAGAGTAGTAGTGTTACAGATTTGGTTTAAAATAATTAAACTGCTAATACTACGTCTAACAGTACAAGTGTCACAAATATAACAGACTTAGATTCAACTGCATAGTAAAACTCAAAAAATAAAATATCTAAATCAAAAGTTTAAAAGCTAACTGCTATTATCTAGAAGGTCACATCAACTGGCTAAATTATGATCTAGTTTAACGATGAAATAGCCAATATAAACAAAACTTACAAAGAAATTAAAGAACTCAAATATATTGATGTAAAGCTCAAGAACCAATCAAACTCCATTTAATATACTTGGAATATAACTTTAATAGATGAAGACAGGATAGTGATATAAATAATATTCAATACTACGCAAATGATTGGATTTACAAAAGTATTATCATTCATTAGTTATTTATCTATAGGAAAATATACTGATATCATTTAACGAAAGGTAATAGTTCAGACTGAAATCGAACAGCTAAATCTATTTATTAACTAATCAGCTATAAGCATAGCTTGTACCCATCATTGATAAACAAGGTAAGATTTATTTATTAGAATTTATTAAATGTAGAATAAGCTGTAATTCAAAGTAAGAGCATTCAGTAGTCTATGGTTGCTGCTACATATACTGTAGCAGTAATCACTATAACTATTTAAATCCTTTTGTATTTAAAATATTATTTATCTAAAATATTTTTTAGAGGAGGAACTTTGTCAATGCTCTATCAGCTAATTAATGCTTTGCAATTGATTGTCTTAGTGCCTTTAAATAGCTTCACTCTTCCAGGATTTCTTTCAGCCTATTTCCAAGGATTCAACTCATTAAACTTCCAGCTATTCAATCTATCTGACTATCTTATGGAGGTCATTGACATACCAACAACTTAAAACTCAAAAGGAGCAAATTATGATGACTAAGGATTTTAAACTTAGAACATACTCATAAATAACTTTGATAGCTTCATGATGATTGTTTAGTTATTGGCATTGTATGGGATTTCATATGCTGGCGCAAAGTACATAAAATTTCCGAGGTAATAATTTCAACTTATTATGAATAAATTTCTATTTAGGCTAAATAAGCCACTAACAGATATGAGAGATTAGTTTAAATACAATGCTGTAATAAGATATGCCATTGAAACCTACATTATTGTACTTCTTTGTACAAATATGAATATCGAGCTACTTAATACTAATACAACTAGCGAGGCAATTTCAAGCTCAATAGCAGTCATTCTTATGAGTATTTACGTTGTTACACCTATTGGAATAACTGCTTTTGTCATGATAAATTATAAGAAAATAACTAGTGATAACCCTGATGTTAAGCAAAAATATGGCAGTATATTTGAAGAATTCAGATAAAATAAACTCGCCATGCTCTTTTATCCAATATTTATGCTAAGAAGACTGATAACTGCATGGGCTGTAATTGGTATGAGTGACTACCCATTAATGCAGAGTCTAGTTCAAACTTATTCCTCTTTAGTTGTAAGATTTATTCTAAATTTATTTAATAATTTCATTAGTTTTCAGCATACATAGCAATAGTTTAGCCTTTCAAGTCAAGATAGCAGAATATTTTGGAACTTATCAACTAGAGTGCTATATTTATGACATACTTACTTTGTGTGAACTTAACTGACTATGTTCAGGATTATGATTCAAAAGTTAATTCAGGTATTAAAATATTTAAAGAGTCATCTAATATTATTCAATAGGCTGGGCAATAATATCCATATCTACGATAATGATTGCCATTAATATAGCAGTCATTGGCAAAGAAAAATTTCTTATACTGAGAGCATACTTTAAATCCAATAAAAATATAATCGGTAAATTGAAGAATAAGCTAAAGCAGATATTTGGAAATTAAAGTATTAGCATTCAGTTATAAACGACACAAGAAGTCATTAAATTTGAGAGTAGGGAATTCCAATAGACAAACTCTTTTGATAAGAGTTCTATTTCCCTGTTTTAATCAGTCCAAACTGATAACACTCTTAATAATTAGAATAATAATGTAAATAGAAGTGATTTTTCAAATACAGATATTCTTGAAAATGAAAATAATTATGGAAACAATCTACAATTAGTAAACGGTAGGCAATTAAGATATTGATTTTAAAGGATTAAAATGTAAAAATAATATATATTATTATTTTTTGATTAATTTGAAAATATTTATTAATACATATTTAACATGTAGATTTGAAATGTACTAACATGGGGTTTTGGGGTTTTGGGGAG